GGTGGGCCACCCGCCTCGGCGGCGGCGCCTCCCCGCCTGGGCTGGGCAGGGGTGCAGCCCCGGGAAGCGGGGTCCTGGCTAGCGGAGAAGCACCGAGACCAGGCCAGCCAGGCCTGACCCCGACATGCAGAGCCCGGCTCCTGCTGGCACGGACGGCAGAGGGCCGGGCAGGCAGTGAGCAGCGTGCGGCCGCACCCGCCCTGTCCCCCGAGCGGGCGGGGACAGGTCTCGGGGCGGCGGGCGCTCGCAGCCAGGCCTGCAGGCCACGCACCGTGGGTGATGTTCAGCTCGTTGCCGATGGCCAAGCTCCAGACTTTGCCCCTCACGCTCGGCGGGATCCCCTGCCACCACAGATCGCGGACTTTCCTCGAGCACCACCTGGACAGAAGCATGGCCTGAGTTAGCGCGGGGGACCAGGGGCGAGCCCCCAGAGGCGTGAGGGTGCAGGCGAGCCCAGCCGCCCTCGGGGAGCGGACACCGCTGGCCCCGGCCACTGTGCTCTGGGCCACTGCTGACCAGGCGGCCCTAAGAGGGAGGCCCCGCGGCGGCTCTGGGCCTGCGCTGAGGCAGAAGGCACCAGCGGCCAGAGGGCTGCGGGCAGCGAACCTCGGTGCGGGGGGATGGGTGGGGCTTCTGGGCCTCTCTGGGCCGCGCGGCGGAGAGCACACGCTGAGGCCGCAGAGACCACGGGGGCTCAGCCCACCCCTGGGCTGTGAGCCCGAGCACACGCTCCCCAGGCGCCCAGCGGCAGCCTCGCCAACATCCAGAGGGTCCTGCCCCCAAGCCCCGGTGGGTGTGAGGAAGAGGCGGGAGGGAGCTCGCGGGCCGCAGCTCCTGTCGGGGGGCCTGCTGGACAGAGGGCGCCCGCGGGCAGGCCTGCCTGCACACGCTGCCTCGGGGGCGAGGCCGCCGGGTGGCATGCAGCTCAGGCTGGGAGGAAAGCGCGAGGGGCCCCGCTTCCCGTGCCCCGCAGCCTTGGCCCGAAGGAGCCCCAACTCGGCACACGGCCCAGCGGCCCCACGCCGGCCCACTCGCTCTGAGTGTGCGGGGGCAGGGCACCTGCCTCGGCGCCAGCGCT